GCACTTGGCACACAGGTACATAAGTTAGGTGGTTAAGATCTATTTCAGGGTGGACCAGAGGTGAATTTTTAAACTTACATGAGATTCAGACTGTTACAATTTGTTAAATATTACAGCATCTGATTTTAGGATTTCGTTGTGTTGTCTTTTATTTCTGTGAAGCATCCCAAATGTCAGGAGTATGGTATTTAGATAATGTGGTGCTGATTGCAACTATATTTGTTTGTATGAAGAAGCATAAAATCTTAACTTGGATAACATGATAAAAATATTACCAGTAAAACTGAGGTTGAATACAAGGAGCGAAGAGGAAAAGGTGCTTAGAATGACAGGGGTTTTCCAGTGGGAGTGGGGGGGTTAAATACAAAGCATGCTTGAAAAAGAAGTTTGTGACAGGATTCTTGTTTCTTCTGAGGATGGGGAAAGGTTCCAGTGTTGTAAAAGAAAACAATAGTACAGTACTTCGAATTTGTATCTAACTCTTAGTTATGTATGGGGCAGTGTTACACAGATACACCTCTGTTTGCTCTAAGTCTGTTTTAAGTTTATGTGGATGCTGTTCTGGGTGTAACCTTATCTTTAAAAGATGCATTGGAAAGTGTTTTCCCTTAGCTCACAAACTTGCCCCCCTCTACCTTAGGACAATGTGTAGTTGAAGGAGTTTAAAGGTGTACAGCTCTGGAAACTGTAAAGCCTCTTACAAGCTTTTTTTTCCCTTCCACTTCTGCATTCTGCTGTAAAATGGTTTTAGCAGAGGCCATATTACCAGAGTCTGCTTTTTTTTTTTTTTAATTCCATAGTTATTGATAATGATATAAGAAGAAACTGCCTACCAAAACTTCGGGTTTTGAAGTAGAAGTCATTTAGCTGTGCTGCTGTCAGCTTAGTACAGACTGGAACTTTGTGTGTATTTGTGTTTTTATATGGGGAAAAAGTGCATGTGTGTTTCTCAGAGGAGATGAATTCGTATTTGAATATGAAATATTGGATCATAACACTTTAGAATTAAACCACTGTAGCTGTTGCCCAATTTGCAGATAGTTTAAACTGTCAGCATATGCTCTTCAAAAATTCAGGTCAAATTAGAGCAACAACAATAGCATGTTAAAATTAACTTTACATCATTTTCTTCAACGTTATATTTGTGCTATAGACAGGTAGGTCATATTCGTCACAGAACAAGAGCAAGATCTTCATGTGTATATGCGGTTGACTGGAAACAAATAAACAAAAAAGCCCCAAGCCAGATCTTAAATTTCTTTGTGATGTTAGAAAGAAAAGCTTTGCCTTTTTTTTTTTTTTTAAAAAAAAAAGCAAGCTTGAAGTATGCTTTGAGTTGAGTGTCAGTCCTTGACAAAGTCTGCCAGATCTGCCTGTGCTATTGTCAAGGTTGAGTAGCTCAAATGGGACTTTCTCTTGCTGTTTAATACTCTTTGATTTGTGTTAATGCTTAACTTCAGTGACTAGCAGATTTGACATGCCATCAAGGTATTGACACACACCACCCCCCTGCCTTACTTCCCTAATCCTCTCAGGTGGGAGGTTAGCATTGATACTTACCTGCCCTTTCTCTTTGAATAAATTTTGTAGTTTAAAGGATTCCAAAAGTGATACATCATGACATGTCACAGGAAAAACTAAAATGTCCATGCGCCTTTTCAAGAGGGAAGGTATTGGAGTGCAATATTCATGGTTTTAGGAAAAAACAAAAGATAAGTCTACGAGTGTTGATCGTTGGGACTTTCTGGTTAAAATGTAACATGTAAATACAGCATCAAAGTTGGAAAAATGAGCACTTATTGTTAAAGTTTATTTCTGATAATTTTCTTTTCACTTAAAAAACAGCTAGCAAATGCTTTATTTGAAATTTTTTGGGGTTGTGGGAGGTAGGGGGTGGTGGGAGGATATACATTTACTTGGTTGTTTTGTAGTAACTTTCATGATAGTGATTTAAATGAATGAATGTGAGTTACCTAGCACTAGTTAGTTTATTGCATACTTATGTAAGTATAACAAACTTTGTTGCTAAATACCATTTTTTTCCTGTCATTTTTACAAAGACACTTTTATGATATCTTTTGGTGTGCTACAGAAGCCTTAGAATAGCCCTAACTTCAGCAGGTGTAAACAGTTGAGCTTCAATTTGAATGTTTTTAGCTGGAAGTAACTTACATTCTCTTCAATACTGATAGATGTTAAAATGTAAGCTTCGCTGTATCTTCTGGAGTTGGAAAATCTTCTAGGAGGCAGATGTGTAGAGAGTTGTTACATACCATCCCAGTGACAGTGTTCTTAATTCCTCAGTCTTTCAAACACATTCATGTAGGAAGGTCCTGCCTGTGCCACTGGCAACTTCTGTCCTTATTTCATTCTTATAAAATGTATGAATATAAAAGCAGTAACTGTAAAACCTGTAACTGTAATTCACAAAGACGTATATCAGGTGGTTGCTTTAATAGGTTGTTTCCTGTGTCATCTGCTCTAGGTGGTCCTGCACTGGCAGGGGCGTTGGACTAGATGATCTTTCAAGGTCCCTTCCAACCCCTAATGTTCTGTGATTCTGTGTTTAAAGCTGTCACTTTAGTGAACAGTTTCAAAGCTTGTTCTGTGCCCAGTGACCATGCTCTGATGGCCCTGTAGGAGTTGGAGATAATACTGGTTTAAGTCGTGTCAATGTGCTGTTCTGTGAAGACACAACTGCACGTTGCATTGCCAGGGTTATGCTGAAAACCAGATCAGAGAGGCGATCTGATGTTTGGTTGGTTTTTATGTATTGTAATTTTGGGGCAAGGTGAAGGGTTATTTTTACATTATTAGCTCGAATTGGTGAAGCGTGGCCCTTAGAAGCAGGTGGAAGACAGAGGGCTCTGTCAGCATTACTGACTTTGGGAGTCTGCTTCACAGAATCTGGGTCTGAGTGACATTGAGTCTTCTTTTGAAACCTAGGAACAGCATCTGCCAGGCTGTGTTTTGCCAGCCCTTTCGATGAAGTCTAGGGTCTGTTGGATTGGATACAGTTTCTAGTTATGGATGGGTGAAAATTACAACCAGACCACGAGGAAATTGTTATGCAAAACTAAAATATTGATTGTCTTATATTACTGCTTTAAAAACTTGTAAAATTAAACTGCAAAATCTGAAATTAAAAAGCAGATTTATTTTTTCAAATTAACAGTTGGCAAAAGGAGAGAAATTGTACTTCAAATTTAACTACTTGCTTTGTGGTGTAAGTAAAAATACTCATAATGCCAAAGGACGTTTATGCATTGAGACCTCTTGTTTTCCAACTGCTTTTTTTTTAGTTGCAACTAAGTGGCTGAAGCTATTATTTGTAGTAGAATGTTGACATTCCAATGTTATTTTTTTAAAGAGAAAAATGTTTTTTAGTGGATTCCTTTGTCCTTAATTTGAATTACTATTTTATATAATTGATCTGATCAGCTGTTTTTAAAAATGTGTTCATTCACACATAAAGTCCTAAGGTCTTTGTGAGTTGTTCAGCTGCTACCAAATTTTTTATTAGGTGATTAAAACTTCTTAGATGAAGGAAGCAATGTCAAAATATTATCTGTTGTGGGTTAGGGCTGGGCCAGCCACAGATGGTCTCTATGATCTCATTTTGATGAGAGATCGTGTTTTTGCTTGTCTTTGAAAGGTTGATTAATTTAAGCTTTTCAGTATGCTTAAAAACACTGATTTGTCATTTTCAAAAATCAAAGATGGAATAATATTCATAATTTAGAGGAAAGTTATCTATATATCAATATAAAACTAGTATTTAATGTTGCAAGTCACCTTTAGAACTTTTTGAATACAGATTTAAGTGTACGGATTTTTTTAAGCCTGTGAAGTATGTAATGAGCAAGACTAAGCGTTCTTAAATTACCTACTTTATTATTTAAGGTAGCCACATCTTAAGTTTATTTTACAATACTGAGTATGAGAACTTTTAATGGCTACGTGTTGTTGCTAGTATCAGTTCAAAAAAGCTTTAGCTATATGGGTATAGTATGCAGTAATCACTGAATCCAAACACGTGCTACAGATGAGCACACTTAATTTTGAAACACTTAGAATTACTGCCTTAAAGCTCAAACTGTTCTGAAAATAAGGTTGTGTTTAAATGTGGAAGTCACAAATAAATGCCCGTTATGAAATACTGCATGGCTGTTTTTCATCCAGGATGCTCAGTTACTTCTCACAATATGGTGAAAACATTGCTTTTGGGTTTCTGCTGAAGTTCTTTTGCACGATCTCCTCTCTTTTCTTGCGATGTTGAAATGTGGCGGATTGACTTGGGAGTTATCATCCTCATGCTTGAGGTTTGTCACCACATCTATCTGTGTAGCTTGAAAAGTGCAATGCAGGGATGCTCTGAGGACTTGTAATTGGACTGTTCACCAGTGAACTAGGTCCTTGCAGATTTAACCCGTTGTGCTGGGTTAGGTTTACTTTAGGCTTACTTTCTATTTAAAGAAATACTTACATGAAGTAAAATGCCATGTTAGGGAAACATGAGGGATGTGGAAAGATACTGCTTACATCCTTGGTACTTGTGCTAGGCAAAGTCTAGCACAAACCTGGTGTTTTCCCCCTACCTCCCTCATGAAGCAAGCCTGTGTGTGATACTGCCAATGTAGATTGAGCTGACATTGTTCGTCTAACTGTCCTGTTATGCTAGCCAGTAGGGAAGTCAGCTTAAAGCTAACTGTATGATGATGGGCTAAAAATATACTAAAGCCTCCTTACTTATGTGAACGTTTTGAGTGTGTGAAGCCAGCTGATGTAAAAGATCATGCCTCTTAGCAGTTTGTAACCCTGCAATCAGTATTTAGAGTTGGAGAAAGGTAATTCTATTGTTCTTGACACAGATTGATCTGGGATGTAAATGCTAACAGCAGGCTTAACTTTTGATTTTCTTATTATGTGTCTCATCTGCTACTCTGAGAAAAATTAGATTTTCTTTGTTTTGGTTCTGTCAGTAACTTTGTCTAATTGCCTTTATTAGTCCCGTTACAACCCAGGGATCACAAACACAGCAACTACAGAAGCATTATGGCATTACCTCACCTATCAGTTTAGCTGCCCCCAAGGAGTTTGACTGCATGCTTACCCAGAAATTAATCGAAACCCTAAAACCTTATGGTGTATTTGAAGAGGAAGAAGAACTGCAACGCAGGTGAGTAAACACTCACTCTCACAGTGGTTTTCTCCTATCTTGAGGTTCATGTAGTTGACTTCTGAAACCCAAGCATGTTTATGTTCTTTCAAATGCTTTCTTAAAAGCCTACTGGAGTATTAAGTTTTGTTTTTCTCACCTTAAGAGGAATAACTTAGCACACAGAAAAGAATTTAAATTATATTTAAATTTTGGAGGCTGGCTTGCATTTCTTTTGTGACTTGTTTTGTTGTAGTGGCCCCTATACTTGTTTTCCCTATTAAGCTTTCTAGAGTTTTTTGCTCTCAGTACTGCTTCTTACTGGTTTTTTAGATGTATGTGTTTTATGAATTAAGGTTTTATTTTGAAAGTGAGTAGAATTCATGTACCTAAAAATGTGTGTAGGCCTTGCATGCTTGCGTTTTTTCTGAGCTTAAATCACTTGAACATCATTAAAGGGGAAAAAAGGTAGGGGGAATATTGTAAGAGTGACTTTTTTTCAGTGTATGTGTATACAAAGATCCATATAATTAAAAATCTGCAATGTTACTGTAGTTGACTTACTGTGTAATGATCATTGTCTTAAAAATACTACTAGTTTGGTCTAGTTTCATGACCTGTGATTCTGCTGTTTTATCAATAGGATTCTAATTCTGGGAAAATTAAATAACCTTGTAAAGGAATGGATACGGGAAATCAGTGAAAGCAAGGTATGGATGTATTTTGCATGGAACTTCTCATACTGAGACTGCTTTAGGAAGATAACTCCAAAATATGTTCCCAGTCTAAACGGGTTTGTTCTTAGATTTGAGGATCAAATTTTTTCAAACTGGAAAAACAAATGCCACCTTTGTGTAGCTTCTTTTGTTTCCAGGCAGTGTCACCCCTTCAAAGTAGAAACTTGTCGGAGAAAGAAGCTGATAAATACTGGGAAATATAATAGTAGTCGTATTAGTAATTTTCAGCAGTTCCCTCTTCTCCCTAGGTAGAAATCTAGCTTGACTTCTTGTCTGAATACATGTGTATAGTACTATGTTATTTATATGTTAGATCTTAAAATGAGCTTCTTGCAGCTGTATGATCTGTGGTCTTAAATGTCAGTGCTGTAATGTTGCTTTTCTAGACTCTAATAATGATGATAGTGTTTTTGCGGGGTTATAATCCCCCCCCGCCCCTACACACAGACTTTTTTTGAATTATTGTAGACTTGTAAAAATGTGAAGATGGAATTGGCTTTTTTCAGAGGTAAAAGCCTAATTTTTAAGCTTCGCGTATAGTTAGTATTGTATTTCTTCCATACGTGTCTCTTACAAAGTGCGAACTTGTATATGAACAAGATTATGGGTGGGGATGATCCTGCTATATATGTGTTGATCCTTGAAAACAGAATAATGAGTGTCTTGAGTGGTGTAAGATTGGAAATTATTTAAGTTAATCTAATATACATTCCATAATAATTGATTTTTTTAATTTGTATCTTTTGCTGTGTAACCTTTAATGTAGGGCTTCAGATTGTAACATTGCATCCTGTTATGAAGGGGTAACTGTCTGCCCACAGTAGTGTGGATTCAAGAGTCTTTTTTTTGAAGATACAAATCTAGGAACATTAGTAGATGCACCTGAACAATTCTAAAATAAAATAAATACCTCTCCCAAAACCAAACTTTTATTTGAAGAGGGTAGTATGGGTGTGTCTAAAAGTAATTTAATTAACAGTGATACTGTAAATAGTATTTTTCTGTTGCTCTGAATTCAAATCCATAATAAATTTCTAAGTCCGTCTGAAATGTTTGAGTGTGAACCAAATGTGTTTAATGTCCATAATATTTTAAAGCTGTTGCACCTGAAAGGTAGAATTACTGGAACAATTACAAGTTTGAGGCAGTAATGTGTAATGGAGTTGAAATGTTACAAGTAGTTCCCAAGTAGCAAACATACCTCTGCCTTTTCTGTAAATAAAGATGATTATGTAGGTAGCAACTACGCCTTAAACAATGTACATTTTGTGGAATTTTCTTTTTGTTTTAAAATAAATTGTGTGTTGTTAAGGTAAAAATAACCAATTTTATTTGCTTCGTTTAGAATCTTCCACAGTCTGTAATAGAAAATGTTGGAGGAAAAATTTTTACTTTTGGATCCTATAGATTAGGGGTTCATACAAAAGGTAATGTTTACTTTTATAATAACTCATGTGTTTGAGCTAATGATGTATCTGAACATGTCACACTTCAGTAACAAAACCATCTTTCTTCTGAGGTGGTGTTAGATGTTGTTTGGGGGATTTAAAAATTTTTTTGTCATCCATCTCCAGTCTTCATTCTAAATAATAAATAAAAGAAATACGTTCCTATATTATGTTTTTGTCATGGGTTGGGAAACAGACAAAAAAGTTGGAAATAACTTAAAGATAGTGAAAGTTGTCTACTTAGATTCTCATGGTTTGTTCTTTCAAAATTACAACAACCGTTCCACAATTGAAAGAAGAACATATAAGCATTCAGTATGCTTAACAGCCATGATCTGGTTGGGGTTTTTATTATTCTGTTTGTTTGACTTGGTATTCGCAAAGAAAAGCCGTTGTACAACCAGAGAAACTAAATTTTCCTGTTTGATTTCAAAAAAGGAATTCTGGCTATTGTTGGCATATAATGTGTGTGAAGTGTAACTTGTGCTAATAAACAATTTCAGGTGCTGATATTGATGCCCTGTGTGTTGCACCAAGACATGTTGAAAGAAGTGATTTTTTCACATCGTTTTATGAAAAACTGAAGCAACAGGAAGAAGTAAAAGACCTGAGGGTATGTGAATTGCCTGATACAGCTAGCTGAACTGATGATGCTGAGAAGTTAATAGTGAAAGATACTGTATTAAATAAGTACATACAACTTTCCTGTTAAGGCTTGGAGTGGTGTTTTAGTTAACCTGCAGCAGAGGCTATCACTGTACTTGAGACAAATACAGATTCTTACAAATTTTCTCTGTTCCTGCTTAATAGAGACACTAATTTAAAAATCTGGATGGCAGAATGATCTCCTGACGTGTGTTAGTATTGCAAAATTTCTGCTTGCTTTCTAGCAGCAGACAGATGCAAATGTGTTAGCTTGAAAAGGATCAGGACCAAACTTTTGTGGTTTTAATTAAGGTTTTAAAGAATATTGTTATGCTGTTGTTTTCACAATTTCATGCTTATATAAATAATTAGTGGTTGATATTATCTAAACTTTCTATATTGGCTGTCAACTGTGCATTTGAAAATGGAAGTTACCTTTTTAGTGCGTCTCATTAGATGCTGGTGCAAGATTTTTAGCATGTAAAGATGAAGATTTCCCTTGTAGAAACAGAAGGCACAGTGGTATACAGTATTTTGTTTCTATTATACGTGACTAACCTCACTAGGTCAACTGGTGGGAGCTTTAATCTTCTCAATGTTGGCTCAGAGTAAATTTTCTCTGCTGCAATTTTATTTTTTTTTTTTAGGTGAAGATAGTTGCTGGCAAGTCTTTTAAACTTTTAGTCCTTCTTCCATAAAATAAGTGGAACTGTCTCTGCAGCATTTTTCCACTTGTGCGTCCTGCAGTTTGTAACTACCAGGGTAGTGCAGACATCTGGTGGTAATACTGTATGCACTGAAACAACTGTTTTAAATGCTTTATTATCTGAATTAAATATTATTATACTTCTAGTAATCTTAAAATCCACATGCTATAATTAAGAGGATTTTGGTTTTCAGATTTCCAGTTAACTTTGCTATAAACTCTGTCTAACTCGAGCTGATGTAGCTGACTTAGCAGCAAGGTAGATCAAGGTATGCTATTCGGTGTAGCTCTGCAGTGATGCAAATAACCTTTAGGTTAGGGTGTCATGACACTTAAGTCATTCCAGCTAGGTTTAAGAAAGTTTATACATCTCCATCTTTAGGGAACCTAGGCTTTTTTTAATGGTTGCTCTGGTGAGTGAGTTAGACTTGTGAACTTCATATTTTACTTAGGATCCATCCTGCCAAGCAGTAACATGAAGGTAACCTTAACTAAGGTTAAGTGCGTAGAGTAGTGTTGTCTCCTCCTCTTGTTAAGAACTGGAACGCTCTTAGAACTGTGTTTAGCCTCCCGCAGTTCCTGATGTTCTCGTTGGAAGGTATGTGGTGTTCCTTGCTGTTAAGAAAGCAGTGTTCTGCAGATCTGCATTTAGTTCAGATGCTCTGTTCAGGAAGGTAGTGTTCCTAGCTGATTGCAGAGTAGACATAATGTTCCATAGTGTAATAAAGAATGGCTAACTAGCTTTTAGAAAACTAGCTTTTAGAAAAGAACTGCTGACCAGCCTTTAGAGATAGGAAGGAAGGCCAATTTGTAATAACCCTTCTGCATATATCCATTGCCGACTAACTAACACTTTAAAGATAAGAATGAAACAGAATCCAGCGAGCGAAGGACAGCAGGTGGAATCCTCCAATCAGACTGTGGAGCTCAAGGAATACAAAAGACTGAGCAGGAGAGATAGGGAGGGCAGCTAGCCAAGAGCTGGTTCTGTTAATTGGAAAAGACCTAGGATTGTACAGGGCATGCGCCACAGGACAAGTTCAAAAGTTCAACTGTGAGAAAGAGTCGAACCTTCATCCCCAACGACCACCAAGGACCCCAACGGGGGCATGACTTGGGTGGACCGAAGTGGGACTATGGGAGGAAATGATGTTAATGAATTCCTGGAAATAATTAGAATAACCCAACCATTTCTCAGAAATGTAATGAATAAACATGAAAGCTGTAAATATAAAGCAAGAATCCTAATGCTTGGGCGCTCAGGTATGGAAGGAGCTATCCCCCGTGCTGCCTGGCACTGCAACACTTAATTGAGTTTTCTCGGCTTCAGTTGGCACCCCAGATGAGTGTCAAAGTACCTTATTAATGACCACATTTGGAAAAGCTGCTTGTGCTCTGGAAACTGGTGACTTGCAGCTGGTTTAGGTGAAGTCAGACTGCATAGTTAACACAGTTAACATAAAATACTGACTGCAGAAACAGTAGCAGTAAGTGACCTCAGTAAGAATCCCCATAGGTTGGCCTTAGAATACTTAGAGATGCTGTGAGGTGTAAAGGATGCTTGATCATGTCCTACATGTAGTGAGAAAGAGAGATGGACCTCAAGGTAACATCATCAGAGCTGGTTGGTATGAGTTTGGCTTACAATTAACGTCTAGACAGCTGTGGCATATAGTAGATCAGTGCTTACTGTGTAAATCCTTAATGATGGAGAAAGACATTGCTGAAAAAAATTGACCTGAAAACAGAAAAGCATCTGTATAAATAGCACTTCGTTGATTGTTTAGAACTGCTAGCTGTTGCTTGTAAATGTTCTTCTCTATACTGAAAATAAAACCTTTTTCCCTCCAGGCCGTTGAAGAAGCTTTTGTCCCAGTTATTAAACTTTGTTTTGATGGAATAGAGGTAAAGATCATCTTTTATTTTGTTTTGGTAGCATATGGTTAAAACAAAGTTTTCAAGATCTCCGTAACTCGTGTTCTTTTTTAGGCACTGCTACCCACTTGTACTGATTATTTATTGACCTGTAGAGTACCACTATAGTGATTAAGACTTAATAGAAATTATTATATAATGTGGCTTCAGTGATTTTTTTTTTGTTTGTTTGTTTTGTTTTGGCTGCTAATGATTAACTGTCCAAACCTTGAATTTGGATTTACTTCAATACCTTATACTAAAGGAAGTTGTGTGATCTTTGATCCGTTCTCAAAAATGTACTGCTGAAGGCAACGTGGGTATCTGCGTTGTCCTGGTCACTTCAGCTGTCGGTAAACACGTGACCAAAACAATGGTTTTGGTGCCGGTAGTTTGATGGATCAGCTCTCTTGGAGTGATGAACTTGCTTAACCATTTTTACAAT